GGGCTTGGCTTTTATTTTTTTCTGACTGACTATGGGGTTATGGGGTATATGTGACTTTTGACTGGATGTGGTGCTTGGAGGGGACATGGATGTCATGCTAGGAGTTAAAGGGGATTTTCTTTATTCCCCTGGGAAAGAAAGATGATGATGTAATCAAGGAGAAAAGAGGAAGTGGCCATATAAGTAAGAATCCCTGAGTTCACCTTCTTCCACCTGGAACTACCACTATGAGGTCCTGTAATTTTTGTACGGCAAAACTCTTTCAAGTACATCCTTTGGTTTGAATGAAGAAATCAAAACAAAGAATTTTTGCTCTCTGTCTTCCTCCACGGCTGGTGATAAGCCATTCATAAGAAATATTTTGATTCAATTCTTTAATGCATTGTTGATAATATAACCAAAATTACAGATCAGTTCAGTTTCAGAAAAAAAAGCAGCACTTAAAGTCAGGGATAAAGGCCTTCAATGCAAGTATCCCTGGCAAGGTGAGATCAACACTGTGCAATGTAAACTACAACTGATTTCTCTGACTTCCAGAAAGAGAAAAGTTTATACTGATATTGCTATAGCAAAATCAATCTCCTGGTCTGCTATGTCTGACACGAGGCTTTTGTTCTATAAAGTCAAAGACTGAATTTTAGGAACAATAGAAATTAACAGAAGAATATACTTATTGAGAGAAAGAAAGCTGCCTGAGACGGAGAAGGGGTCCTGAGCAGGTTGCCAAACACTGTCCTTTCTAGGGATTTTTATAGAGTAAAATCATGTGGTGAAATTAGTTTAAGGAGGGGAAAACTAGGAACTCACAATGCAGATGGGGGCATAAGATGGGACAGAACTATGGTAGCCAATAAGATTATAAGTTCAGGTAAAGCTGATTAAATTGGGAACAAAGAGGGAGGGGAGTCACATAGAAAGCAGGCATTCTTAGGCAGCTGTGACTTCCCTTAGGGGTTTGGGAGGGTAACTACTGAGGTCATCAGGATGACAGGAACTATGTAGAATGTCAGTCTTTAAAAGGATACATTTCTTTGAATGGTGGCTCCTGACTTCCTCCCAGTGCTAGGGAACTATTTAGAATATCTATACTTAGGATATGGATGAATTTGCTTATCATTGTCTTGAGCCTTGGCCCATAGCATGAGGTGTCAGTCTTCCCCATAGTTGCAAGCTATCTGGTCTCCTGCATGGGCTCCTTGGGGGATCTAGCCCTGTCTCCTGCCAATACTATTTAAATAACTCAGGTCCCTGTAACAGCACTGTTTGGAAAATTGATTATAGATGTCTTGTGTTCTATGTGAATGATCCGGTGATGACAATGTGCAATGTATATACCAGTGTTGCCCCCTGATTAACATGTTTTGAAGTTTAATTTTAGTTGTGTGTTCTTTTTTCCTTGAAATCTAATGGATTTGAAAATTAAAAGCCTGAGGTAAAGCTCTTCAGTACAAACACTCCTCTGTCGAGCTGAGTTCACCACTGTAGAAGAATGGCAGCTCCAGAAGTCTCTGCACTACAGTCTATCATTTGGGATCCTCTCTTGCAGGGAGGGGCTCCTTTTCCTGTTTATTCTTGACTCAGAAGGAGGGCAGTAGAGCAGGAGTCAATCAATGATGAAGGGGCAGGCTACATGAACTGTTCAATCAGATGGGCCATTGCTGGCTGCGACTTCTGTCTTTCTGATGTCTCATCGTGATTTACCTGTTCTGAGTACAATACTGGTAGCAAAATGCTTGCTGGATCTCATTTAGTACTTTTGATGTCCTGTGGCATGATTAACAAAGAACCTGAGACATCCTGGAGCCATGGAATGGTGAGGTTGTGGATGGGAGCCCAGAAATATGGTGGATTGGGCGAAACCAGTTACAAGTATTTTCGTTCCGGTGTCTGGGTCCTCAGGTATTTAGTTAGCTTCAGCTCCTGAGGTCCTCAAGCATTGGCGATGGGTCATTCACTGTCCCTTTTGCCTCTTGCTGTTGGCAAGGGTGATTTGGGGTCCCCAGAACCCTGGCTCCACTATGACAGCAGCAGATGCAAGTATCATCTTTGAAATTCACTGCTGGCCTGGTAACTCCACCATCTTAGGCATTGGAAGGAGCTTGGGAAGACCCTGACTATGATGCTTTTTGTAGCTTGTAGAGCAGTAATGAGCTAGGTCTCTGCTCTCTTTCCTCAGAGTAGCTGATCTGGAATGTCCAAAGTTTATTAATGTCTGTAATGCAGGGCCTCATAGCCACAATGGATCAAGTTAAACTTGGGCTTTTTTGTATTTATAGTGATCTCCTCAATTTATAGTACGTTCTCATATTTCCATCCTCATGACAAGTAGTGGCAAAGTTCCTGAGAATTCAGAGATGTGTAGTAATGTGCCTCAGTGGAAAAAGGCTTCCCAAACAACTCGTGAATTCCTGTGTATTATACAGATCAGTGCAAAATAATTTCTGAACATACTTAATTATTTAGGTGGCACCCTTGCTCACAGACTAGGTTTTTGAGAACAGCCATAGAGTTTTGAAGTCTGAGAAAAATGAAGCAAATATGAAAGTGTTATCAAGGATGGGGTAAAAATTTGTGAAGGACAAATTCCAGAAAGGGCTATTAAGTTCTCATCAAAAAATGCCAAAATTTAGGCATTTGCATGGACATATACGCATGATATCCTTCTGAATGGAAAGGAATAGGGGTGTCATCTCTGAATTAAGAGCTGATTTAGTAGCTTGGTTGTTCATAGAAAGTTTAAATATGGAAATGCTCTACAATGGAATTTACTAAGTGGTGTAAAGGAAAAGCTCTAAAGAGAAATTTTGCAGTGATATCAATAGTTTGGCATGAAGGGTTTCCTGCTGAGGATGGATCAGAGGAGCATGGAAAGGATGTGCAAGTGACTGACAGGATGCAGGAAGCCAATAGTAGGACATACAACAGAGAGGGTCTTCACAGAAATTCAGGTAGTTCTTAGAGTAAGCGTGAAGTTAAAGTTGGGTTCTGATTGCTTCCTTGAGGTGATCAACACCAGCTCTGGCAACAATCAGTATTTCACATCCCTGTCAACCCATGTATTTTTTGTTCCATACTTGAGATCTAATTTGGATTATCTCTAATTATGCCCCAGTGTCATGAAGGTAAAATTTGGATTTTTTTTGTACCAAGGATCGAACTCATGACTTATGCTTTCGAGGAAGGCGGTCATGCCACTGAGCTAAATACCCAACTATGAAAGTGTTTTCTGTGTAGTATGGAAGATATCCACATTGTTTCTCCGAAAGTGTTGAACATTATTGGCATTTTTCGGTATTGTATGGATATAATTTTTAAAAACAAACCAAAGGTGTCTTATGTAGTCTGTTTTCAAGTTTCACTTTGTGTGTGGAGTGTCTCAGTCAGGGTTTCTCTATTTTATACAGCTCTGTAACTTAGGATAGACCCAAATTCAAGGAAGAACTCCTTCACCAGCCTCCCAAGATATATTTCTCATATCTGAATTGAAAGTGATCGCTTGGTGACAGTGAGCTATAAATTACAGCTTGGGCCTGGTTCCATTTTATATTCTTATTTTTTAAAAACAGTATTTTCCACTAACATTTGAGTTATTAGTTGTGTACCATATTGGATGTTATTTATGTTTTGTTCTATGAAAACAAATGCATGTTTCAAAATGCTGCTGAAGTATATTAAGAACAAAGTACTCTCTGGCCTAAATGAGATTTGAAGAGACATTATCTGTAGCCTATCAAAGTGATTGATGAGATTTTTTTTTCTTTTTTTAAATTTTGAAAGTGGTAAAGTACAACAGAAAAAGGCCAACTAAGATCATACAGTGAATTTGGTACACAACTTCACAACAGATTACTGGGATAACAGTAATAGGTATCACAGCATATTTTATTATCTTTATAATAGTTGTTCTTTCAAACACATATATCAAAATGAGATGAAATACAGAACATTATAGTAATTATCAAAACAGAATATTGAATAGAGAAATACCATTAATCACAATAGAGCAAAACAGTAATAAAAATATTTGCCTTCAAAGAGATAGTAGAATGAAGTCCCCCTTATTTGTTATGGTCTGCTTCCCAGGAGACGCTCAGATTTCTGGTTCCCATTTGATAACGGGGGTTACAGGAGGAGAGGGGTAGGGAAGAGGGATGTTTGATTCTAGGCCGTGCATCAGTAGGTTCACTATTGCTTAGTAGGGAGACAGGCTGCTTGTTTGGTTTCACAGCGTACTAAGTTCCCACATGGCAGGGATCTCAGGAGCTGCTGCTGGTTCTCCCCCTGGAAGGGCAACATTCTGCCAGACTGCCACCACTTATCAGGGAGAAGTGGTGCTTGCTTGCCTTCCAAGTGTCCTAAATTCCAGCATGGCATGGATCTCAGGAGCTGCTGCTGGTTTGCCCCCTGGATGGGCCACAGTCTGCCACACCGCCACCACTTACCAGGGAAGGGAGGTGCTTGCTTGGCTTCCCAGTTAATTGATGGGCTATTTATCTGCCTCTGTACTTTGTGGATGCTGGTCCTGCAGGCTTCTCACTGTGAGCTCTGCTTTAGAGACAGTACACAGGGAATATTGCAGTGACTCAGCACAAGAATCAGTGCTCCTATTTCACTGTTACATTAGCAGTGAGTTTCAATCTATCATCAAATTTGTTGTCTTCAAAAATGTGTATATACACAAAATTAATGACCAAAACATGGATTTAAATTTGACAAAATCAGTCTTCATTCAGCTGTTTTGTTTGGTTTTATTAGTTTAGTTTTGTTTTGTTTTATTGAGACAAGCTTTCTGTACGTATATCAGCTGGATTTGAACACCCTATGGAGCCTATAATTGCCCAAACTCACCTAAGCCATCCTGTCTCAGCCTTTTGAGTGCTGGGATTATAGATACGCACCACCACACTTTGCTTTTCATTCAGATTTGTAGGAGAGAATTTAAGATATCGCAAACCTGGTGTCTCAACCTTCATGTGAGAACCATATGTATGATCCTTTAGGAGGTGGTGACCTTTGAGGATGTGGTCATGAACTTCAGCAATGAGGAGTGGAGTTTGCTGAGTCCATACCAAAAGAACCTCTACAGAGATGTGATGGGTGAAACCTTTAGGAATATGACTGCAATTGGTAAGGACAAAATACTTTTGTCACTCATGCTGTCAGAATGTTGTATGTCGCTCATCAGTGCTGTTTCATTAAAAACAATGTGAAAATATTTTTAAAAATAGCTCAGACCTGTATACATTATATCATAACTCTAAACAAAATCTATTAATTTGTATGTATTATTCTAATGAATGCTGGTATTTCTATGTCTACAATTCAGGAGGACTTGGGGATATCCAGGAAGCTGAAAAAGAATGCAAAATTTAATGGAGATACTTAAGGTAATTCTTACTCACAAAGAGAAGGAATGTTCCTGAGTAACTAGTGAGTCAGCAGAAAAATGACTGCCAAAGAAATGAGGCACCATTGAATCTATTGTCAGTAATATTCTACGAAGACGTAGAAGCTAGGGTATGTATAATGAGTGAATTAAATCATGAAAATATATGACACTGCATATAGATATGTACGAAAGGCATACACTTTGAGTTATGACATTCTTCCTTCAGTTTTTCTATCCATATATACATGTGAATACAACACATTCATTATCTAAAATTTTCTACGATTGCAATAGAATTTGAAATAAAATGGAGTACTTGTGTTTGCAAGCCATGCTCTAAAGAATCAGCCATTCTGAGTAAAATTCTTAGAAGGCTAGTGGAATGTTAAGTGCACTCATTCTGAATATCAGTGTGCAGTTGTCTCTAGAAATTGATCCCCTCATATTGTCCTGGATATATTTTTAAAAATTCAATGTCCATGTAAATATTGATACATGCTTACTCATATACAAAGCAGATCAAGTTATAATAGATCATGCCTTGAAGAAGCTTAGCTATCTATCACTGGATTTGTGGAGAAGGAAAATGTTAATAGCCTCTCTGTGATTGTGCATTCTTGTAAATCCAGCACACTAGGAATCAGATTTTGCAGAAGTGCAAATTCAAGTTCAAACTTCACAGCTTAATGATCAGGGAAAATCTCTTAAAACAGATTTAAAAAACTATAGATTTTATGCAAATACCTGTTGTTCATTCCCAGCATGGAAAAAATGTGTTATATAATGTCAAAAAATAAAGAATATGACATCATTTCCCATAAGAAATAGGTGGTTCTTTCTCCCTTCAATTCGGTGAAATAGCTCAGCTATAAAACCTAAAATGTCACAGGGTTTCTTTTAGATGAGAAACCAAAATATAAATTGTGGAATGAAATGAAAGCGAGTTGATAGAGAAAAGTAAGACTGACCATATGGAAAAGGGAACTACAGGTTAAGGACAGAAGGGAGATTGTGATGGGGAAACATATCAGAATGATCTGTATGTGATACACATATGTACCCATGCCCAAAGTGAAGCTAAAGTTTCTGCATTTCAAAAGGTACCAAATTTTATGATTTACAAATGCATACCAGTCTTTTGGGAATGGTTATTTTCAACATGTCTTACAAGGCCATTCCGTTACTTCATGGTCAGAATTTCTTAGCAGGCATTAAAAACAGCACGTGACATTAATGCAGTCATTAAACTGAGACCCATTTCACTGTGAATTTTTCTTTTTTTATTTAATGTAAGGAAAGATTAAAAAAACAAAATAAGTAGAAATAATACCACTGTCAAAGTGAAAATAAACAGTAAGAAATCTAAAGACAATGATTACATATGCTGCTCATAGAAATAGTTAATGAAACACAAAAGTGAAACATATGAATTGGGGATTCAAACAGTGAGACTGCAAACAGTTTTGTTCAACTCTTCAATAAAAACTTTGTAATATGGTTATAAATCCTATATGTGATTTTTTTTTTACAGAAATGAAAAGCTAGGGAAATCCTGTGGTCATACATCTTGGAATCAGTGTAAAGAAGTATTCCCTTGTACTGCAGAAGGTAATGTGAATGTGAAAGAAGCAGAAACACACCACAATGTTCAGATCCATGAAAAATATTGCAGTGGAGAGAAATCCTATGTATGTCAGCAATGTGGAAAAGGTTTCACCAAATCTGGACATTGTAAGGAACATGAAAAAATTCACACTGGCGAGAAACCTTATGTATGTAAGCAATGTGGGAAAGCTTTTACCCAACATGGATGTTGTAAGCAACATGAAAGAATTCATACTGGAGAGAAACCATATGTATGTAAGCAATGTGGGAAAGCTTTTAACACATGGGCAGGTTGTAAAAATCATGAAAGGTTTCACACTGGTGAGAAACCATATGTATGTAAGCAATGTGGGAAAGCTTTTACTCAACATGTACATTGTAAGCAACATGAATGAATTCACACCTGCGAGAAACCATATATATGTAAGCAACGTGGGAAAGCTTTTAACACATGTACAAATTTTAAGGTTCATGAAATAATTCACACTGGAGAGAAACCCTATGTATGTAAGCAATGTGGAAAAGCTTTTAACACACATGCAAATTTTAAGGTTCATGAAAGAATTCACACTGGAGAGAAAGCATATGTATGTAAGCAATGTGGGAAAGCTTTTAACACACGGGGACATTTTAAGAATCATGAAAGAATTCACACTGGAGAGAAACCATATGTATGTAAGCAGTGTGGGAAAGCTTTTACCCAACATGGACATTGTAAGCGACATGAAAGAATTCACACTGGAGAGAAACCCTATATGTAACAATGTGGGAAATCTTTTACCCAACATGGACATTGTAAGCAACAAGAAAGTTCACACTCAAGATAAAACCAGTGTATATAAGCATCATGAAAATTTTTTGAGCACAAGTACATATTGCATAATGCATGAAAAACTTCACACTGGGCAGAAACCTTATATATGTAAGGAATGTGGGAAAGGTTTCAGCAGAAATGCTCATTGTCCAGTACATAAAAAATTTACACTGCTGAGAAGCCCTGTTTATGTGTAGAATGTGGGAAACCTTTCACCACACATGGATTTTGCAAAATACATCAATGACTCCACACTGGTGAGAAACAATATGCATATAACAATGTGGCAAAGCTTTTAACACATACAGTCATTGCAAAACACATGAAACAATTCACACTGGGATGAACCACTGGCTATGTAAGGAAGTGGAGACACTTTCAGCAGCCAGATTGTAAGTGAAATACATGAAGAAACTCACACAAGAGATAAATCCTATGTGTTATGGGAATACTCTCAGCACACATGATCATTGTTACATATCTGAAAGAGCTCACTGGATCCTATGTGTATTAACAGTGTGAGAAATATGGCAATCCATGTTTGTTGTTAAATACATAGAAAAAGCAGCACTCTTTAGACAGTTTAGATCTAAGTTTACTTTAAAAATTCCAAGTAGACCTGAAGAAATAATCAATACAGAAGTTTGATGTTAATATTTCTTCACAGTTTTCCAGAAACAACAAATCTGAAATGCAGCTCTACTCAAGTACACATTTTGTATGGTTTTCAGTTAATCATTTATACCTCTTTAGATTTTTTAATGTGTCTTTGTGCTTCAACATGGCATCTTGTAATTAAACATTTTAAACTGAAATGGGCTTTTCACTTTCAAGTATGGATAGTGTCTATGTACTTAATATATTTTGTCTTTAAAACTTAATTTTCATATTTTTGGTGAATTAATTTTATTTAAAGAAAAAAATCAAAAAGTGTAGAAATACTACAGAATTTCTGAAAAATAAACAATAAGAAATCACTAGTTGATTAGTTATATATTGTCATCTTAGAAGTAATTGTTCAAGTTACAAAATTAAGCATACAAAGTGATATTCAAATAATGACACTGTGAACAGTTTACCTCAGTGATCCAACAAAAACTTATTAATATGCATATATGTTCTAAAAACTTGTTTTTTATCTTAAATATGGTAAGATTAAACATGACAAAACAAAACAGAACAGTTCATAAGCAAACAAGTTAAGGAAACACAGGTTTCAAAGCAAGTCCACTGAGATGTTCATTGTCTATCTTACTGTCTCTAGTTTTCTTCCAAATAGTTGTTCCCATCTTCACAAGCATTGAATATATACTTAACATTATAGAACTAATCAAATAATTACAGGATGATGCAGGCTTTTTTGATATTCAAGACTGATTTTGGGGAAGTTGATAATGCTTACCATAATGTGTCTCATTCTCTTCATAGTTGATGTCTTTATTTTTATGTATGCTGAAACTGAACATAAGAGACTAAACTACTATCACTCTGAACAGTGAATAATAGTATCCTGAGAAGGAGAAAGGCGAGGAATTGCCTAAAAAAGGAAGGCAGAGGACATTGTTAAAAGTGTATAAAGATTTAAAAGCTACAGCAGTTCTGTTGCTCTGTTTGTTTTGATTATATTTTGTTCTGGTCTGTCTACTCATATTAGATTTGAGGGCACAGAGAGGTAACCCAAAAATAGCAGGTTATAACATGATGGTAACTGTCCTTAATTTCCTATTAAGTAAAACTGAAACCCTGTATTACTTACATTGTCTTACTATGACTGATCTTATTGGAAGCTGGTTTGTTTGAATGTAATTTGGCCTTGACTGATTTTATTCACATTTGGTATGCTTGCTGGTATCAAGTCCAAGAGTAGAGGCCACTAGTCTGAAGATGATAATATGTGAAAGATATATATTGGGGGGGCTGGGATTTAGCTCAGTGGCTTAAGCACCTGACTGGAAAGTGTGAGGTCATCACTCTGATCCCCAGTACCAAAAAATAAATACAAGATATAAATTCCAGGTTTATTTTTTTATTTAAAGAGAGAAAAAACATAAAAAAACAAAGCAGTAAAGGGTACAAGTCATACAGAATCTCAAGAAAAAAAATACAGTAAGAAATCACTAGTTAATAGGTTACATATTGTCTTCTTAGAAACAGTTGTCCAAATTATAAAATTAAAGCATATAAAATGAACATTCCTACAGCAAGATTGCAAACAGTTCCGTTCAATGATCCAACAAAGCTCAGTAATGTGGTTTTCCTTCCTACACACTCAAACAGGCAATTATATCTCTTAGACCACCTTCCTTTCCTCTCTTCTTCACAATAACACACTTTTGGGTTTTTTTTTTATTCCCATAGTTGTTATTACTCTTTTTGAAGAGAATAAAATCTCAAGTGAGTTAACAAAACAGAGTTGGTTAGAACATAAGGATGCGCATAGTACTTGATGCAAAAATAGAATATCAGGTGATCAAAATGGTTACCATTGTGCCTCTTGCTATTTTTAAAAAGAGTTTCTATATCATCAGGTATAATAGAATTGATCAAAACAGTACAGAACTAGAGCAATAAAATCTACACTGGAGACCTTACAGGATTTCAAAAGAAGATAATAGTCAAACCATAATGGGCATCATAGTAAATTTTATTGCCTACAAAGTGGTTGCCTATGCCCTCAAACTTGATACTATCAAACAAAATAGAATATAGTAAAATCAGGCAGAACAAGATGGGGAGAGCAATACTGGGGTTAAAATCAGGTTAATAGGAAAACAAAAATGTTACTATAATATATCCCGCTATTTTTTAATTTAGTTTTCCTTTAATTGAAAAAAAATAAGAAAAAATAGAATATTTTTTAAAAGGGTGGAGATCGAGAAAAAAGAGACATTGTAATAGAACAACACAGGTCAGAACTGAACAATTAAAGCATCATTTTGTTTCACCACCATATAATCTAACATAATATTAGTCGCCATAGTGCCTCTTTCCTTGAATTGTTTGAGTATAATTTCGTATACTATGGCATCAATCATATCAAGACAGTGTGAAGCCATTCAAGAGAATGAAAGAATTACAGGGTATTTAGAGCCAGTTAACAGAAAATGAACAACAATTTCTATATTATCTCTTTGCCTTTGAAAAATTTTATTTATACTATCACATACAGTAAAATATATTAAGATACAGCATGTTAAAACCAGTGGAAACATGTATAACAGCTTGATGGGAGTTCCAAAGAAGATGATATTAAATCAGCACTAGCTTTTATGATGTGTTATTTTCTTCAGAATAGCTATTCGTACTATCACCGATATTAAATCGAAAAACCCAGGGTAAAACCATTGCACTTAATGAGTGAAAACATTATATAGATTCAAACCAATATGATTGGGTATCATGATTACCACATACTTCTATGTGTTATCATTTCTTATACTAGGGAATATATTTGGTATTTATACATGTGAGTTTGATTTATTTCACTTATGAGTATGGTCTCAAGCTGTGCCCATTTATTTATATGTCAGTGTGATCAATCTTCATAGCTGAGTAGTACTCCATTGTATAAAAACACCATAACTTTTTTATCCATTCCTCAGTTGATGGACACTTAGGTTGTTTCCAAGATCTGGCTATTACAAACTGTGCTGCTATAAAAATGGGTGCACATATATCACTGTGGAATGATGCTTTAAGTTCTTCTGTGAATATGCCTAGAAGTAGAATAGCTGGGTCAAAAGGTGCTTCCAGTCCCAGCTTTCTGAGAAATTTCCAGACTGATCTCCACAATGGTTGCACCAGTCTACACTCCCACAAACAGTGCAGAAGAGTTCCTTTTTCCCAACAGCATCTCCAATATTTGTTGTTGGTGGTTTTCTTGATCTTGGCCATTCTTTCAGGAGTGAGATGAAATCTCAGTGTGGTTTTAATGTGCATTTCTCTAATGACCATTGATGGTGAACATTTTTTCATGTATTTATTTGTCATTTGTATTTCTTCATCTCAAAATTGTTTATTCATCTCAGATGCTCATTTTTGGATTGGGTCTTTGAATTTTGGTGGTCTCATTTTTGAAAATTCTTTATGTGTTTTAGACAGAAGTCCTCTGGCTGAGGGGCAGTTCACTAAGATTTTTTCCCAGTGTGTGGGTTTTCTTTTCACTATACTGGAGATTCCTTTTGATGTGCAGAAACTTTTTAATCAGAGGTGATCCCAATTATTGATTCTGGGAAGCATTTCCCATGCGATTTGAGTCCTGTTCATCAATTCTCTACCTACTCCTATGTCTTCAAGGTTTTTACCCAATTTGTCTTCCAATAGATTGAGTGTTTCTGTTTTAATATTTAGACCTTTGATCCATTTAGATTTTATTTTAGTACATGGTGATAGGCATGGGTCTAGTTTTAGTTTTAGGCATATGGAGAGCCAGTTTTTCACCACCATTTATTAAACAGAATGTCATTCTTCCAGTGAACATGTTTGGCCCATTTATGAAAGATAATGTACTTGAGTGTGTTTGTAGTGGTGGTTGTATCTTCTCATCTATTCCACTGATATTCGGCTTTGTTTTGTTTCCAGTACCATGTTGATTTTACTACAGTTGCTTTGTAGTATAACTTCAAGTCAGGGATTGTGGTACCTCCTGCCTTGCTTTTGCTGCTTCTAACTGTCTTTGCTATTCTAGGTTTCTTCTCATTCCAGATGAATTTTAGGGGTGATTTCTCAAGTTCTATGAGGTATGTTGATGGTATTTTTATCGGGATTGCATTGCATCTGTATAAAAGTTTTAGGAGAATGGCCATTTTCACAATATTTATTCTTCCTATCCATGAGCAAGGGATGTCTTTCCATTTTCTGAGATCATCTTCAATTTCATTTTTCAGTGTGTTATAATTTTCCGTGTATAGGGCTTTCACTTCTTTCATGAGAGTAATTCCTAAATATTTCATTTTTTGGTTGCTAGTGTGAAGGGTGTGGCCTCACTTATTTCTGTCTCTGTGACTTTGTTGTTAGTGTATAGGAATGCTATTGATTTTTTAGTATTGATTCTGTATCCAGCTACATTACTGAATTTATTTATTATATCTAGGAGTCTTTCAAAGGAGCTTCGGGGATCTTCTATATAAAGTATCATGTCATCTGCAAATAATGATAATTTAACTTCTTCTTTTCCTATCTTTACACCTTTTATTTCTCTCTATTGTCTAATTGCTCTGCCCAGTATTTCTAGTACTATATTAAATAGGAGCTGTGATAAGGGACATCCTTGTCTTGTGCCTGATTTTAAAGTAAAGGCCTTCAATTTTTGACCATTTAGTATGGTACTGGGTGTTGTTTTTTCATTGCTGGCCTTAATTATATTGAGGTAAGGACCATCTATTCCAATTTTCTGCAAGGTTCTTATCATAAATGAATGTTGGACCTTATCAAAAGCTTTTTCTGCATCTATAGTAATAATCATGTGATTATAACTTTTGGCTCTATTGATATGGTGTATTACATTTATTGATTTACATATATTAAACAATCTCTACATGCCTGGGTTGAATCCCCCTTGGTCATGATATATGATCTTCTTGTTGATTTGCTGCATCCTATTTGCCAATATTTTAATGAGAAATTTTGCCTCCTTGTTCATTAGGGAGATTGGTCTGTAGTTCTCTTTTTCAGTTGGGTCCTCCTCTGGTTTTTGTACTAGAGTAATATTTGCTTCTAGGAACAATTTATGAAGGATTGCTTCCCTTTCCATTTCTTTGAATATTTTGCGCAGTGTTGGCATTAGGTCTTCTTTATATTTCTTGTACAATTTTTCATTGAATCCTTCTGGGCCTGGGCTCTTCTTTGTAGGTAATGATTTTATTATGTTTTCAATTTCATTAATATAATTTGGGTTATTCAGTAGTTTTACATCTTCATGACCTAGCTTTTGTACTTCATATGCTTTAGGAATCTATTTCCTCTGTGTTATAAAACCTTTGAGAGTAGAGGTTTTCGAAATAGGTGTTGATGATCTTCTGTATTTCAATAGGGTCTGTAGTAATTTCACCTCTTTTATTCCTTATTGCATGGATTTGAACTTTTTCTTCCATTTTTTAAATAAGGTTGGCTAGGGGCTTTTCGATTTTATTTATTCTTTCACAGAACCATGTCTTTGATTCATTGATTTTTTGGGTTGTTTTTTTAGTCTCTATTGCATTGATTTCTGCTCTGATTTTTATAATTTCTTCTTTTCTTTTGGTTTTGGGCTTGACTTACTCTTCTTTTTCTAGATGTTTGAGGTAAAACATCAGGTTATTTATTTGTATTTGTTCTGTTTTCCTAATGTGGGAACTCGTGCAATAAATTTTCCTCAGAGGACAGCTTTCATTGCATCACACAGATTCTGGTACGTTGTATTTGTGTTTCCATTTGTATGTAGGTATTGTTTAGTTTCTTCTTTAATTTCCTCTGTGACTCACTGATTACTCAAGAGTGTTATTCAGTTTCCATGTGTTTGTGGGATTTTTGCAGTATCTTTTATCATTAATTTCTAATTTCATAGTGGTATGGTCTGATAGCATGCCAGGGATAATTTCAAAACCATTTTGCATTTATTTAAATATGCTCTGTGAAATAATATATGGTCTATTTTAGAGAATGACCCATGTAATACTGAGAAGAATGTGTATTCTGTTGTTGTTGGGTGGAATACTCTGTATATGTCTATTAAGTCCATTTATTCACAGATGTGATTCCATTCTTTTATTTCTTTGCTCATTTTCTGTCTGGTTGATCTGTCCATTGGTGTCAGTGGTGTGTTAAGATCTGTTAGAATTGTGTTACTGCTAATTTGATCTTTCATTTTTGTTAGTACTTGTTTTATATAATTAGGTGCTCTGGAGTTTGGTGCATATAAGTTTAAGATAGTTTTCTCTTCCTCTTAGAGTTTTCCCCTAACCAGGATTTAGTGACCTTCTTTATCCCTTCTGATCATTATTGGCTTGAAGTTCACATAGTCTGCAAACAGAATAGCTACCTCCGTTTTTTTTTTGTTTGTTTGTTTGTTTGTTTGTTTGGTTTTTTTTTTTTTTTTTTTTTTTTTTGGTTCCTGTTGCATTAACTATTGCTTTCCATCCTTTGACTTTCAGTCTGCGAGTATCCTTTTGGGTTTAGATGGGTTTCTTGTAGACAGCATATGGTTGGATTTTGTTTCTTTATCCATTCTGCCAGTTGGTTTCTTTTATTGGTCCATTGAGACCATTTACATTAATGGTTAGAACTGTTACATATTGGTTTATTGTTGACATGTTATCTTTCTGCTGTTGCATCTTTATCTTTCTGCTGTTTTTAACTGTCTGTTTTGTTTATTTTTATTTATTTATTTATTTATTATTATTTTTTTTTTGGTCTTTTTTGTTTTTATCGGTACCAGGGATTGAATTCATGACTGCCTGCTTGCAAGGCAGGCACTTATGCCGCTGAGCTAAATCCCCAGGACCCTATCTGTTTTGTTTAGAGGTTTTTTCCTAAATGTATCTAGGCTGTCTTTCAGTATTCTTTGCAGGGTTGGCTTGGTGATCATGAAGTTTTTCAGATTTTCTTTGTCATAGAAGTATCTTATTTCTCCATTGATTTTGAAGTACAGTTTTGCAGGGTACATCAGTCTAGGATGGAAATCATTTTCCTTTAGGATCTGAAATACTTAACTGCCTGCTCTTCTTGACTTTATTGTTTGTGCTGAGAAGTCTGCTGTGATTCTGATATGTTTTCCTTTATAGGTGATCTGTCTCTTCTCTCTGACAGCTTTTAATATTCTATTCTTTTGCTCAATTTCTGGGATGGTCATTATTATATGTCTGGGTGTAGATTTATTTTGGTTATGGCTATTTGGATTTCTATATGCTTCATTGATCTTGATATCAGTTTCCAATCTTGTGTTCAGGAAATTTTCAGCTATTAATTCTCTAAATATCCTCTTGATATCCTTTATAATATCCCCTTCTTTTTCATTTATCCCTATCAACCTTATATTGTTCTGCTTTGCGTCATCTTGCAGGTGTTGAATAGTTATTTCCTGATTTCTTGTTATTTTTAAAAGATCTTTCCTTTCCTGTTCACTGGCTGCAATCTTGTCTTCAAGGTCTGAGATTCTATCTTCACATTCATTAAGGCAGTTTTTACAATTTTCAATGGAGTTTTTGATTTCCTGGATATCACTTTGCATCTGCTTTATGTATTCTGTTTGTTTCTTATAAAGTTCATCCAGGGATTCTATCTTTTTGTTTAGTTCCTCCAATTTTTTAACTGTGTCTTCTTTAGATATGTTCAGAATCTCCTTCATTTCTTTTAACATTCTTTTTTTTATCTATGAAATTATTTATAATTTGAATTTCTTTAATGCTTCCCAAAGTTGCTTCTTTATTTCAGTTACTATTATTTCAGGGATTTCAGTGGAATGTGTTTTCTTCTATGCACATGGCTCCTAGGCTTCTTGGGGATGAGATGAATGTTTGAGATTGCATTTTGGTCTTTCATTTTGTCATTTTGCTGTATTTTCAATCTTCAAGTGTTGTTCCAAGTGAGGGAGTAAGTTCACTAGATTGGGACAGGATTCCATGCCTCGGCCGAACTTGGTGGCAATGTAGGGAGTTCCCCCAGACTGGAATTGGAATCTGTTCCTCAGCTCCACTCGCTGGTCCCAGCAGGAATCCGTGGGCTGGTCCCCAGATGAGGGAGAGAGTTACCCCAAACTGGGAAAGGATTCTGTGCCTTGGCCCGAATCCATGGTTCTGAATCGCTGGTCCCAAATCACTGGTCCTGTGGGCAACCACGGGCTGGTCCCCAGTTGAGGAAGGGAGTTCCTCCAGACTGGGATGATATTCCATGCCTTGGCCTGACTTGCTGGTCCTGGCAGGAAACCATGGGTTCTACATCAGGTTTGATTATTAACTGCTTTCGTATCCTACAAGGTGTTCAAAGTTGTGTTTTTATAAAAATAGCTATATAATGTTATGCTTAATTGTATAGTCCCTGATGAAGTGGACAATTCTATTGAAAATAACAAGAGAAAGCATTGTAAGTACTGTATATCAAGTAATATTGTGATCTTATATGTCTCTTTCATATCATGATTTTCTAGGAATTTGTTTTGTTGTCTTATTTTGATCTGTTTTCCCCCATAACACAGAAACAATAGATATACACATATAGATTCACACATAGGATGAATTTCTAACCTATTTTTTGAACAAATAATATAATCCATAATGTAATGAACAAATACTCTGAAGAAGTGACACTAAGAAACCCAGTGCTAATTCTGTAGCATTATGATATGAAATTTAGCAATACTATTATTCACTGTTCAGAGTGATATTAGTCTAGTCTCTTAGTTTTTTGGGAATTGTAATTTTAATATGGCATTGTTTTAATCTTTTTATGCACATGCTTCATTTTCTCTTTCATAAATGATGTTTCTGAAATTGAGGCAATATTTGGCATTAAGATATACATTTGTAGAGGCTTGGAGTATGTGTTTTTGACAAAGTTGTGTTCTTTTCACATAACTTGTACATTAATGAATGTTATATTTTCCATGTTGTGACAAGACATCTGCTGATTTCCTAACATCACTGGATATCATACCATCTAAATTATGTTGCCTGATTTTGTTTCTCAGTGGAGCCAATATTTGTCATTTAAGTAAACCTTTGTTTTTCTAACCATCAGAATTTTACTTGTTATGTTTATATTACATCTTTATTTGCTAGTAAGGTTTCCCCACATGTACCAAATGTAAACCATACTACTGTGAATTTCTGATTGTGCCATACTGACAGAATCATAACTTGTCTCCAATAGCACATCACAATATATATATATCAATATCTCCAGAAATTATAAAATTTGGCATGATTTATGAGGAACCATACTTTGAAATCAATTTTGCTTAAATGTGGAGTTGTTTTGGGGGAAAATGTTGTTATTGGATGTATCATGCAAATGCCTTTATTTTAGTCCTTGATGCTGTGAATGCATTATATATTTTGTAACTATTACTGTTTTTTCCTAAAATACTGAAGTAATGGCATGAAGGGAAACCTAAATTTTGAGCAGTCAATACAGTAAAAAGTAAATTTGCTAAATTAAGATTCAGATTGTGTTCTGTTTTACTGAATTGTGAATTTATACAATGGCATATCACTTTATTTATAAGGACCAGTGCATGATGTTTGTGGTGTGTACTGATTATCTTTAAACACATACACTGGGCCATGAGTCCCAGCTGGTTTCCTGTGGCCTATGGTTTTCACACTCATTTTAACATTCATGTAATTTGCAATGTGTTTAATGCCGTGTTGTTGAATACAAAATCTGCTTAGGAATTATGTTGTTAAAAACTGTGGTGTTATGAAAACACAAGTGAACATTGCATTAAATACCCCTAATCCAATGAAGATTGCTTGGCCAAGTCTCGATTATGCTTGAGAAAATAAATTACTCACTCACCTCTTATGTAATCACCACTAAAACTATATTTATTTTGTACCTGAAGAACCTGATATACTTCACAAAGTAAAAGACACTATGAAGTACATTGTCAGCCTCTATGCACTACAGCATGTGGCCAGATCTCCTGCACCATATTTCTGCTTACCATCAATGGGAATATTTGGAGATTGTATTACAGCTAATAATAGAATACTGAATCTATAAGACATATATCCTGAGTACATGCACTTTCTCATTTTACCATGAAAGTAAATCTTGCTGGTCCTGTTGATGCATGCTTTAATTCTAGCACCTCAGTGGGCTTAAATTAGTAGAAGAGGAAGTTGAGTCTAACCTACAAAATTAGAGTGACCTTGTCTCAAAATATATCTTCAAGTTCTGCAGATGTTGCTTA